GCTATATGACAACGTTGGGAATTTTATTTTCTTGAGTAGTCTTAAATTCTTTCTAGAATGACAAACCTTGACAATGTCATTAGCTCTGAACTGAAAATGAAAGTATATAAAATGAAGAAATGAATGGACTAGAACCGTGCCTGTTTTACAAAGAAAGGTTTCCTGTCATAAAGATTATCATTTGCTGAGTGTGGTAATGCACACCTGTAGTCCCAGCACTTGGGAGGCAGAGACAGGCAGATCTCTGTGAGTTAAAGGCCAGCCTGGTCACATAGTTCCAGGCCAGCTGGGGCTACAGGAAGCCCCTGTCTCAAAAAGACAAAAAAAAAAAAAAAATATTTAGTTTTAGTTCATGTGTGTGTGTGTGGGCCTGAGTGTATGTATGTATGTGCATACCATGTGTGCCGGCAGTTGTGATCTGCCATGTAACTGCTGGGAACCAAACCCAGGTCCTCTGAAAGAATAGCAAGTGCTCTTAACCTCTGAGACATCTCTTCAGCCTCCAGAAAGAATTCTTTTTTTTTGGGGTCTTTTTGAGACAGGTCTCCCTGTAGCCCCAGCTGGCCTGGAACTAGCTGTGTAGCTGTGTAGACCAGACTGGCCTTGAACTCAGAGTGCTGGGACTAAAGGCGTGTGCTACCACACCTGGCTCAGAAAGAATTCTTTTTTTTAAATTTTTAAAAAAATATTTTATTTATTGCCAGGTGCCTCCAGAAAGAATTCTTTGTTTTTGGGGTCTTTTTGAGACAGGTCTCCCTGTAGCCCCAGCTGGCCTGGAACTAGCTGTGTAGCTGTGTAGACCAGACTGGCCTTGAACTCAGAGTGCTGGGACTAAAGGCGTGTGCTACCACACCTGGCTCAGAAAGAATTCTTTTTTTTAAATTTTTAAAAAAATATTTTATTTATTGCCAGGTTTTATGTGTATGAGTGTATTGTCTACATATGTTTAAGTACATCAATGCTGTGCAATGCCCACAGAGGTCAGAAGAAGGCATTGGATCCCCTGGAACTGGTGCTATGGATGGTTGTTAGCGGCCATGTGGGTGCTGGGATTTGAACCCAGGCTTCTGCAAGAGCACCAGAGCTCTTATCCACTGAGCCATCTCTCCAGCCCCAACTTTTGCAGTTCTTTTTAAGGACTTTGTATTTCCCTCTGTGCAAAGTTTTGAATGTAAGGGGAACATGAGCTCTTTTAAGGATCACCCTGGCCACTGGGCTAAGTCTATACACATAGACTTAAGGAGGTGGGCAGGGAGAGTAGATTATACCAAATAATCTATACAAGAGATGATGGTGGCTTGGGCCCAGGAGGTAGCAAGTGATTAGATTCTAGATGTGTTGCTTGAATGATACTTAGGGAAAGTACTGCTCA